AGGGCACATGTAGAGGTCTTGTCCAATTGCTCCTTGTCTATGTCGCTTGTTCCTGTCGCTAGCATCTCTATCCGTTGACCCGTTTGGGGTGTTTACTTTCAGTTGAACTATCAATTATTAACGGATGGCAGTGTGTGCTGTGATTGCTAAAACACTACCTTGCAAATGCCCACGACTTTTAGAGCATTGCCTGTAATGGCACACGCGGCTAGTGCTACTTGCTAAATTAGGAGTCTGAATATTAATTCCAGTTGTGGTTTCATTAAACAGAAACATCGGACGATCAAGCGTTGTGTCCCCATTTCATGACATACCTCTTTTCGCCAATGAGCGAGAAGACTGTCTCAACACTGGTGGTGGAGGTGCCGCGCTGACGAACGCTAAGATTGGAGGATTAGAGAAGCATGAACGTGAGACTAAGTGTGTGTGTGCAACGTCGCCTTGCGTCGCGATTGTTGACATCACCGCGATCGGATGACACCTGATTGTGACGACAGGTCGTGGGCAAACTAACAGGTTTCAACTGTTACTGTTAGTTGCCGTTGACGCTTTCCGTCGCCGACGATCGGTCCTATGGGTGTCGCCGCAAGCGCAAATTAAATTCGTATCAAAGGAAGCGTTTTTTTTATTTCCTGCCGATTCTACGTGCTGATTGAATCAACAGATATAATCTTACAGTTATATGCGTAAAAAAGTTGTTGACCACCTTGCTCGTCGGCATTAAAGGAAATTAGTAAAAATGAAATTAATGGAGCCCCTGTCAATGGTTTTTTATGGCAGTGTTTCCTATATTTAAAACTACGCTGGTGGGCAAGTTGATACTACAATAAGTAGTGTAGAATCCATATTAACTGTCGCGCTCGCCGTCTGAGGTTCAAAATTAAAGAATGATTAACAATAACGCATACATGTGCTTATTTTTAGATTCACTTGCAGTTGCACGTCTGCCCAAATATTTCTTTGGACATTAGCTGGAAAATTATACGTTATTCCGGCAGGGCCGTGCCTCCGGAACAAAACTAGTTTAGCAAGATAGGCGAATTTTCAGGGAGTCACACGGACTCTGCATAGTCAAATCAGGGAGTCCGACAGTAAAATCAGGGAGTCATTTGACTCGCAAACTCCCGTTAATTTCGCACTCCTGTAACACACTATGTGGTATATATAGATACTTCTTAGCTGTCAAACTTTGTTTGTACTGTGACTCTGTCTGTGGCCTGCCAAGTCTGTGTACTTGTAATCAATGTAAGTACTACATTGGTTTCAGTGCATGATATGTGTGCACGTATTTATGTACATATATTTCTATATATAGTACCTATTCCATTGTTTATAAGACCCTTCCGATGCCTTAGGCACTTCTTATTAAAGTTTTTATTACGAGATTCTTACTCAGAAATTGCCCTCAATTCCGAATTAAAATAAAGCTAAAATATAGTCGTTTCACCTCACAAGCGTATATATCACTGATTTACATAAACTTGAAAACACTAAGATTTTATGGCAGTTATCAGCAAGAAGATTACCATATATATGAACACATGCGTAACACAATGAAATATAACCAGCGAGTCGCGAGTATTTGCTTTAAATGTGTCAACTTGTAATTTGGCCAACAAACAGTTGTGCGCATTTTGGAGACGTGTATAGTCTATGGACGATAGTCTGGCACTACAAAATGATCCAAGACTTACGAAAAAGGCATGTGTAAATCGACGATTTTCGAAACTTGCACTGTTTTGGTGAATTAGAGGTTGCTTAAATGCATTTTGATCGTTACCTGCTAGATCACTTGCTTGTTATCAAGCAATAACGGTAGATATTCATAAAAGTGGGGAAAACACTAGCTAATTCTCGAAATTATGGATTTGAGAAAGAATTTATTTGCGATAAAAAAAAAACTGTTTGACTATTACAATAGACCAGTGCTTCCAAATACCAAGTGTATGTTCAACCCAGTACACCTTTGCTGTTTTATGGTTTTAATATTTAAATTCCCTGTATTTCGTATGCACTCCTGTTAGCATTGGTTAGTGCATACTATAGGCTAGTTCCACTGAGGTGTATAATATATAATATCCCATATCCTAACTATACAAATATTGGTATAAATAAAATGTCCGCTATAATTATATAGCATGACAGGTGTTTATATTATATATAATACTATAATATATATATATATATATGTAGTTGCATGGTGTAACCTGTGTGTGTGTGGTGTGTGTGTGTGTTTGTGTGTGCGTGGCGTGCGTAGCTGTGCGTGCGTGCTGTGCAACGTGCGGTGCGTTGCTGTAGTTACACACTGTAAGTTAAATCCATTGCCAATCAGTGATTTGGGTGAGTCAAGTAGCAGCTGCCATTAACTAACGCTGACAGTAATTATTATACGGTGGATTAATACTAAAAATCCATAATTAACCCAGTACAGCGTCAATAGCAGCTCAGCATATTTCTCGCTAACGCGCTTTTGGTCCGAGAGGCTGCCTCGTTATGTGTTAAACCGAAGGCTAGGTATGCCTGATACACGTGATAGATGAGCTACTGTGCGTAAAATTTATCTGCATGCATTGAAGCGACCCCCTTGTGCACATCCATAGATCCCTAATATTGGCGTGCACATGCTGTGTTGATCTTGCATGCAAGCGTCCACGTTGCGTGCGTGCATTGTGTTGTGTGTATGCATTGACATGACCCGTGTGTATGTTGTGTATTGCACAATGACCGTGTGTATGTGTGTATGCACACGACTGTGCGTCCTGTTGCCGGCGTGCGTGCGTTGTTGTATATCTCGGTGTGTTTGCCGCATACTGCATACTCGCGCGTCCGTGCGTGCATTTGTGTGCGGCGATGACATTAGTGCCGTGACGTGTCAGTGTGTGTGTATTAAGAGTCTACAGCCAGCAGATGCTAATATAACTCGGTAAACCAGTTTGAATAACTCTTCTGCCCAGGCGTCGCAAACACTCATTGTGCGAAGTGTGCGATTATTGCGTATTTTTTTTTTTTTTTTTTTTACTGCAGACCTCATTTCCTCTGGTTGATTCCAGTACGCATCGTTATACAGTATGGGTCGAAAATTTCTAATGGGGCCGCAGGCCCGATGCCCGTACACTTTTTTTTCTCATAAGAATTCTTTTATATAAGAGATCATACGGAGCCTTGATTTCCAAATTTTAAAGAATTTTTTAAGAATAATCGGGTGAGGCTCGATTCATCAGACACACATTGTCTCACTCGATGTACGACGGGGCGACGAGTGGATTGATAATATGAGGATTGACAAGATTCATATGACGTTGAATTTGCTGGCCGTAGGTGTGAAAGTTCATTATGAAAAATGCGGTTGGTTGAATGGCACTTTGAATACTTTATTCAAACGACGACATACGGATAATATCGCGTTTCCTTACCCCGCACGCGAGCTGAGGACTATTTACGGGCCTCGAACGACATTGACGGCGCTAGAAAGTCATATTTACCTTGTAGTTTAACGAATTGTGTATATTTTGGAAAAGGAGGGATTACTTTCTTGTTGTGTTATACATTGGTTCTTTTATTGGATATTAGCATTTTCCTCTTTCGTTCAACCACCACGTTTTACATGCCATCGCATTTAACAGTTTTAATGAAAATATAAGTCGATTTTTTCAACAATTATTTAAGAATCATTTAAGAATTATTTAAGGCTCAAAATGTCGATTTTCTAAGAATCACGAGGCTCAAAAACAAAAAGTACGATTCTTATAAAAAAAAAAGTGTATTTTAAGGCTCGAGCCTGACATTTCTAATATTAACAAGCTCAACGGGCCCGTAGAAAATCCACCCCAGCATGCAAAACTGTTCCCGGCCTGTAAAATTTGCCTGGCGGGCCTGTAAAATCCCTTGCCTACAGGCCCGGCTGGCCTGTAAATTTTCCAAACAAATTTTTACCCCTTTACAGTATGACATATATGTGACCGGAGTTTGTAATCACCATGCAAAAGGTTAGTGATTGTGCTCCTTGTTTACCTTGCAGCACGAACAAACATTTACACGGGCGCCGCCTTGACACAGAAGTGCC